CACGTCGCCGTGCCGCAGGCAGCTATGGGGTGCTCTGGGCTGTCCCCTCAAATCACGGTTATGGAATAATTTAGCCCTCGATTCTCTGCGATTACTGCCGCCACTGATCATGCTGTCACGTTCCGAGTGAGCACTTCATCCCGCGTTTATTCATGCCAGATCTGTTTTGCTTTCGTAATGAGCACATATTACCCCGGCACAAAGAGGATGAAGGCGGCCGTGTGATAGATAGGCGCGAGATTAAATGGGATCTTTATGACTTCTGAAGCCATCAGTTCTGACTGTGCGATAAGACGAGTCGACTTGGGTCCTGATTTGCTCTTTATTGGAGCCAATATTAGCATGTGCTCACCGGTGCAGTACTGATCAGACCCATTTAAGGTGGAGCTGAGGGCTGGCTGTGTGGGATGCTGCTGCGGCTGTCACGGCCCCGGACTGAGCCCGTAACCACGCCCAGGGGCTCCTCACCCTCGGACAACAGGACTGCAGGGGGTCCTGAGGGGCCTGTGGGGCTTGCAGGCAGATCTCACTGTCCTGGCAGACTAGCCTTTTTCTTGGATACCTTAGTACCGCCGGCCTCTCTGAGTCTCTGTTCTGACTACCTCCTTCCAACAGTCGGTTGGTCGGGTGTCTCACTGGTTCCTGTGACCAACCCCATCTCTTAATACACTCTAACCAGAAGGGAGATTGGTCATTTGGAGCCCAGGGACCTCTGGCTGGCGGTGGGACAGGTGACAGACCAGTGAAACCTAGCTTTGACTCAGTTGGGAGCATGGGACACCCTCCTACTGGGACCATGCATGGGGCCCATCTTCAGTCCCTACTTCCCAGTCTCTTGACTTCAGTAAGGACCTCTGGCCCATGCCATGTGCTGTCTGCCCTCTTCAGCCCAAGGCCCAGGACACGGATGGCTCTCTCCCCATGCAACTGATCACCCTGAACATCTTCTTTTCCTCATGGAAATCCCACTGTTGGGATACTGGGGAGGGGTCTGTCTTGTCTTTGCCCACCTCTTTCTTTGCCATCCCTACCCAGGGCAGGATGAGCTGGAATAGTGAAGAGGCCGCAGGCAGTGTTCTGTGCCGCGGGGGATGGAAGTCAGAGAGGCTTGGGTCTGGCGGGGACCACACAGCACCTGTGCACTATACCTGGTACCTCCATCTGGACCTTACTGTTTCTTAGGAGCCGGCTGGCATACAGTGCTCAGGGGCAGACTGTACTGTTGCCCTTGTCAGAGTAGATGGAGCCTGAAGCTTCTCTCTCTCTCTCTCTCTCTCTCTCTCTCTCTCTCTCTCTCTCTCTCTCTCTCTCTCTCTCTGTCTGTCTCTGTCTCTCTGTCTCTCTGTCTCTCTCTCTCTCTCTCTCTCTCTCTCTCTCTCTCTGAGACAGGGTTTCTCTGTGTAACAGCCCTAGCTGTCCTGTCCTGAATCTCACTCTGTAGACCTGGCTGACCTCGAACTCAGAGATCAGCCTGCCTCGGCCTCCTGAATGCTGGGATTAAAGGTGTGTGCCACCACCACCTGGCCTGAAGCTACTCCTTTTGGTCTGAGAAGCCTCTAACCTCATCTTTTTGGGCTGTTATTTTGCAGGCAGTGGTACTGTGGTGAAGCCAGTGTCACTTGTCTCTGTCATTTGTTTTTAATCTCTCAGCAAGAGAACCGGCACAGAGGGAAGTAGAGGTGGTGGTCCTTGGAGCCAAAGTGGTGGGCAGCTCATCTACATTCTGTCCAGATCACCCCTGGCTCCTTGGCACAGCAACTGAGATTCACCCCATCCCTGGAGTCCATGTCTGCAGGGCCATAGGGGAGGACCCAAGACAGGGGACAGGTTTGACTGGGGTCCCTGCTATGTAATGACTATACTTGTAGGTTCAAAGAGACTGGGGGTATATGGGTCTAGAGCCCATCTCTGGGTGAAGAGTCCTGGGCCTCTTCTTCACGGCAGAACCCAAGAAACATACAGGGGCCTCATGAGGTGGGCTCAGAGCCCTTGGGATGGGGCTGCACTGGGCAGTCATCCCATCAGAGCACAGAGGGGCGTGTGGCTGCTGCCCACAAAGCACCTGGCAGACACTGGCCCAGTGCTGTCTTTTGTGAGGGCTCGCCTCTTTGGCAGACAAATGTTGGACAAACCCCAGTGGGGGGGGTCACACAATCTCGGAGACGTCTCTATAAATCTAAAGTTATTTCAAGGTGAAACATTTGGAAAAAATTCCTGACTCATAGTATGGCTGCTGAGTAAGAGGAGCTATGGGCATGGTGGTGCACGCCTTTAATCCCAGCACTCAGGAGGCAGAGGCACCAGGTGAGTTCCAGGTCAGCCAAGGCTACATAGTGAGACCCCCCCCCACACACACACCCTGTCTGGGGAGGGAGAAACTAACCAAACCAAATCAAAGAGGGAGGAACTGGGGATGTGGGAGGAGCTGGAAAGGAAAGAGGAGCTGGGGGGGGGGGGGGGGGTTGGAGCTGGCGTTGAGGGAGAACTGGGGTAGGGTGGCTTTGGAGTTGTCCTGGCAGCCGATGTGGGGAGCCAGAGGGATGAGAAGCATTTTTGAGGAGCTTTTGGGATTGAGGGGCATGCGAGTGTGCACATGCTTGTGTGAATATTTTTAAGTGTGTGTAAGGATGTGTCCCTGCCTGTGTGAGCAATGGGTGTGTATAACTACGAGTATGTGAGTGTGCACTGGGGACCCCACCTGGAAGGACCCAGTGCCTGACACTGACTGGGACCTGGCTGCCCTAAGCCCTCTGCAGTGGGCATAAGTCCATTCACAGGGGGGCTGCAGGGCTTTCCCTGTTTGGGCTGCTGGAGACGCTGCTCCTTACCCACCCCCATCACCCTTAATAGAAGCCCGTAAATATTTCTACCTGCTAATTTGAAAAGGAACTGGCTGTTTATGAACACCCCAAGAATGACATTTATGGGCCTGAAGGTAAGTGATTATTGACAGTAGACAAAGGGACAAGGAAGGAAGCTTCCGGTCCGCCGGACCGGGTGATAAGGACAGTCCCTTTCTCATGCTAATTCAGATCTGCCCCGCACCGCCAGGAGCTGGAGCGGCCCTTTTCTTCCCTTAAATGTCACGGCTGAGCCAGGCGATCCTCCTCCTCCCCTGGACAGGCTTAGGGGTGGGAACTCCAGCTGTAGGAACCCTAGGGTAGAGGGAGTCTCTGCTCTTTCCAGGCAGGCTGGGGAGAGACCCTTTTGTTAATCACTTTGGGCATCTGCCCACAGGGAGTGCTTCCAAAGGAAAACTGTTAGCCTTGGCTTTGAGTTGTCTTCATGGCCAGCTTGTGGAGCATCGACTATTGTGTGCTATTCCAGGGTGCTATTCAGGTACACAGGTACAGCTGGTGGCCTGGACCACGCACACGGGAAAGATCGGAAGTCTTGTTCCCCACTCCTCACAGACACCAAGGCGCAGCAGCTTTCCAAGCTCTGAGACTTGAGCCCTGTGAGCCCTAGTCCATGTGCTGGAGGGTTTGGGATGAAGAGTGTTGCCACAGCCACGCATTTGTCTACGTGCAGGGATGCTTTCTCAAGGCGTCTCCAGCCCCACCCCTTCCCTGCGCCTGAGCCAGTTACTCTGTGCAGGGTGTCTCTCCTATGCTGGGTGCTGTACTTTTAAGCTGATGAACCCAGCATTCCTGGGAGGACTGCTAGTGCCCTGGAAGAAGCATCATAGGTGTGCTGCACAAGCGGGCTTCACGCTCACACATTGCCAGCTGTTGCACCATCATCTGTGGGGTTTTATTTTGTAGCCTGGATGCGCAGGGGCTGGATGGGATGTAGTGGGGTGGAGGATGGAACCCAGGGGCAGATGGGCAGCCTACTATGGATGACAGGGAGTGAAGGAGGAGCAAGTTCAGAGGCAGGAACCCCATGAAGCAGGGCCAGAGCAGGCCAGTGACTGCTGTCTTTCCCCCTGGCAGGCAGCTTGCAATGGGGCAAGTTGCAATGGGGCAATCGGGCAGGGCGGATGCTCCTTGGTCCTCCACTGGCCTTTGCAGATGGCCCCGAGCCTTGCCTAAAACCGAGCTTCTGGTGGAAAGTCTCTCATCCACAACCCGCCCACATTGGTGGCCTTGGCTCCTTGGTACCTGTGTCTATGCGTTTGTGAAATGGTTGAGTGACAGCGTGCAGGTCTTTGAGGTCTGATCCTGCTTGCTGTCTCACTCTACGCTGAGATGTGTTGTTGTACTCCAGGGGCCTAATGAGCCAGGAGCTCTGCCGTTGCGCAACCTCATCCCAAAGACTTCCTCTCACATCCAGATTGTAAGGTGCGCGGCTCAGAAGAAAAAGGACCAGGATTAACATTTTGTGACAGGAACCTTCTGACATGAAGGTAGAGTTCGGAGTGCCAGGGTAGCTGAGCCTTGCCCTGCAGTCAGATCTCAGCTCCACAGAACTTCCTGGCTGGGATGCCCCTCAGGCTGGGTGAGGGAGGGAGGTGTCAAGTACTCAGGTCTGTAAGCTGTGTGCAGGGGCAGTGGGACAGGTGGCGGTCAGCTGTCCTGGGTCCTGGTTTCAATCTCCACCCCTTTACAGCTCCCAGGAGTGGTTCCTAAGATGGGAAGCTGGCAACCCCCTCACTGTGAAGCAGGGTATGGGTCTCGGAGGTCCAGGGAGATGTACCAGGCTGCATGGCGGCTGCTCAGTTAGAGCCTCTTGCTTTGTTTGCCAGCTGCTGCGCTGTTGTGGAAGCTGGCAGAGCCAAGATGGAGTCCGTCTCCAACACAAGCGGACGCCAGAAGCAGTGCAGGGAGGGCTTTAGGCACTACGAGCTCTACTTCCTGGTCTGGCATCCTCACCTACCTCAGTATTGTCCTTTAGGCCAGAGACTGTGGAGTCAGACCATCCATGTGGGCCCCTCACTCCCTGAATACCCCCCACCCTGGTTACCAGGCCCCAGAGCTCCCTAGCAGCACCTCAAAACTTTCAGATTGTCTTGCTAATAGTGGTAAATCTCTCTGATTGTCATTTAGATGGCCGTGGTTCCACTCCCGTGGTTCCTAAGAGGCCACAGCACAGATGGTGGCTCCTGCTTGGTTTTCCTGTCCTGACATCTCCAGCTCCTGCTGCCGGAAATGGAGAAGGTACTTTCACTGATTTATCAACCAGTCTGAGGTCATCCGAGGTCAGTGGAGGTCACCAAGACTCACAGGTCAAACAACTGGAGCCTAATGAGGTCAGAATCCTACTGCCCGGGGCTCATCATGAGGTCAACGGGAGAGCGACGCTGGACTGGGGACACAGTACTGCCGGTGATGGTAAGTGACCGCTCTGCAAGTGTTGTGGTCCTAGCTGTCCAGGTCTCCAGAAGGAAACCCGTTCTGGCGGTCATGGGCACCTGGCCCCTGGAGGCCCGGGAGTGGCGGAGCAATGCGCTTGTTCTAATTCCCATCAGAGCTCAGTGGTGTTCGGGAGCAGAGGACAGCATGGCGGGTGCAGTGGCAGGCAGCTAGAAAATTGAAAGACTAGCTGTGAAGTGCAGTGGCCCCGCTTTCCGTCCATTTCCTCTCTAGCAACTTCCCAGGAAATGGACGGTGGTTGCCTCCGACACTGGGATGATGGATGGCCGCCACACACGCCTGCCCAGGAAAGCGCCCAGCGTCAACGGTGAGGTTGGGAGGTGGCCAGGGGTGGAGTAGGATGTGCAAAAGCAGGCAGGCCTGCAGCTAGGGCCAGGATGGTGCGGTGTGGGGTAGACCCTGCTCGGCTCTCCCAACCCTACTCAGCCTCAACTTCCCTAATCAGCACAGGTGCCTGAGCGTGTGACCCTGCACACAGGTGTCGTGAGCCCCGGCAGAGGCTGCTGCACAGAGGGGTGTAGGTTCAGATAGCATTCCCTGTCGCCCGCTGGAAGAGAGCTGGAGCACAGCCCAGGGCCTACCCCAACTGAGATTTCCACCTTAAGGTGTGAGGAGCCCTCTGCGGCCGAGTCCCGCCGCCCCCTCCACCCCAGTGACAAATACTAATGTCTAAATCAGCAGCCCGCCCGGCCGGCCCGCCGCCTGCTCATGTTCTTTGCTGAAATGTCACCTGTTCCTATCTAACGATTTGCATAATGCAAAGCTTCTCACTCGTAAAATACAGATTAAGAGGGGAAGCCAGAGTCATTCCGGAACCAGGGAGCCATTTCAAAGGAACGGGGGAGGCACCATGCTCTTAACCCTGTCCCTGCCAGCCTACTGTTTGGGGTGAGCTGGCTCTGCCTACAAGGCACAGTAGCAGGGACTGCCCAGGTCCCAAGAAAGGCTTGGCAGGTGGGGACTTTGAGGACTTCCAGGGCCCAGGAGCTGTCTCACCACATGCTGCCAGCTTTCCCCTCAGCCTAGCGGGAGGTCCCCAAAGAGAAAAATGGTAAGGACAGCCCCCATCCCCAACCCGGGCAGCTCTCTGGCAGCTCCTCCCTGGGGGCGGGGTGGAGGGTCCATGGCTGTGGTAGCAACCTGAGGCTTCACAGGCTTCTTCACCCCATCTAAAAATTGGTTCAGTCTGTGGTCTTAGCATTGGTGGAACCAATGTCCCAGGGGAGGCTGTTGGGAAGACTAAGGTATTCTCAGAATTTATCCAGAGTTGGGACAGGATCAGGACAGGAGATATCCCTGCTGTTTAGAGGCTCCTCGGTAGAGGAGGTGAGCCGCCAGGTCCTGCTTCCTCCCTTCTGAAACCTAGTCTGACATACCATCCCGGCGGGCGATCTATTGCAGGTTAGGCATCCATCCACAAGCCAGATGGACCCTCCTCAGGTCTGCGGACCTCCTATCTAGGGAGCACCTTCACCAGGATTCGTGCCCAAGGCTGGGCTGGGACAGGATATATGCAAAGGTTACACACAGGCCTGTTCAAGCTTGGTGCTCTTGAAAGTGGAGCCATAGGAGGCATCTAGAACAAGGCGGTCTTGTTCTGTTTCCTTTCTGTTGCTTTGATAAAAATACCGACCCAAAGCAACTTGGGAGTGAGGGGAAGTTGCTGGAGAAGAAACGAAGGAGAAGAAAGGCAAGACCCCCACTCTTCATAGTTAGTCTTTCTACTTGCTACAGGTTTATTTCAGCTTGCAGGTTACAGCTCACTGAGGGAAGCCAAGGCAGAAATCTGGAGACAGATCTGAAGCAGACCACCGAGGAGTGCTGCTTCCTGGCTTGCTCTCCATGACTAGCTCAGCCTGCCTTCTTCTGTAACCCAGGACCGCCTGACCGGAGGTGGCATTGCCCACAGTGGTTTGGGTCCTCCCACATCAGCCATTAACCAACATGCCTGCAGGCCCATCTGAAGCCTTCCCAGGTTGACTGTAATTTATGCTGAGTTCATCCTTCTACTGGAGACTCCCACCTGAATACTGCCTCTAGCCTGGAGACTCCTTCATCTGGTGACCTCCACACCTGGGGACCCCCATTCCTGGAGATTCCCTTATCTGGAGACCCCCTCCTGGGGACATCTTTCCCACTTGAGTCTCCCCATTTATCTGCTCCCCCTCTCGGAGACTCCCACACTTGGAGCCCCACCTCTGGTCAGTCTTCCTGTCCTCCAGTTTGCCTGCACTCCTGTCCTTGAGGAGCCGGTGCATCCGCCAATGGGTCGCACTCCCCTTTGCTCTCACGTCTCTGAAGGGCCCCTAGCCCCAGTGCAGTTCCTCCTCTGCTGTTCTATGTGCAGCAGCAGCAGCAGCAGCAGCAGCAGCAGCAGCAGCAGCAGGCAGCACTAGCTCTTCCCAGCCGCCATTGCAGACGCGATGCTGGGCACTGCGTTCCTGTCATCTCACAGAATCCCTCCCAGGTTGGTGTTTGTGACACCCACATTTTACAGAAAGGGCAGCTGAGGGGCTGGAGAGATGGCTCAGTGGTTAAGAGCACTGCCTGCTCTTCCAAAGGTCCTGAGTTCAATTCCCAGCAGCCACATGGTGGCTCACAACCATCTGTAATGAGGTCTGGTGCCCTCTTCTGGCCTGCAGCCATACATACAGACAGAATATTGTATACATAATAAATAAATAAATAAATAAATAAATAAATGTTTTAAAAAAAAGAAGAAAGGGCAGCTGAGGAAGGACTAGTTGTTCAGGGTATAGACTGGCAGTCTGGACAGTGGATTCTCCCTGTGTGAGGAAGAAGGTGCAAAAGCCCTCTTCTTTTCCTCCCTTAGGGATGGTTGGCAGAACCTGTGGGAACATATAGCCAGTGCCCCTGCACCCAGAGGGTAGCCTGCCTCTCTCTGCAGTTCTGGGCAATTTAAGTGCCTCCTCTTCTTGGGAGATCTACGACAGAAAGCATCTGATGTCCAGACAGCAGCCCAGCACACCTTTGTACTCTCCAGACTCTCTGCTTTTACAGATATTTCTCTGCTGTAGGCGAGCCTGCCCCACTGGTCCACCTCTGCATTCTAGCTTCCTTAGCAGATGCTCCACCCTAAACAGATGCTCCTCTTGTAGCAGAGTGCTCCTGTAACTGATGCTCTACCCATAGCAGAGTGCCCCTGTAATTGATGTTCCATCCTTAACAGATGCTCCTCCCGTAGCAGAGTGCTCCTTAACAGATGCTCCTCCCATAGCAGAGTGCTCCTTAGCAGATGCTCCCCTCTTAGCTGGTACTCCTCCCATAGCAGAGTGCTCCTTAACAGATGCTCAACCATTAGCGAGTGCTCCTCCTGTAGTAGAGTGCTCCTCCCAGGAAAGTTACTCTTCCCCTATAGATGGGTCTTTCTCCACTCAGATAACCCTGGGGCAGAGGGAACCTGAATTCTTTCTTTCTTCAGTTGCTCTTCCATTTCTCCAGGTCCTTCTGTTGCTCCGCAGTGGAGAATGGGTTGCAATACTTTCTGTTCCTTAGGAAGCTCTTGCTCTTTGGGGTCTGGTAGCTCACACCTTTAATCCCATCTGGAAAACTGAGATAGCAGGCTTGCTGTGAGCTTCAGGCCAGCCTTGGCTTCAGAACAAGACCCTGTGTCAAAACAAAAAACAAATGTATCCACTCTGCCTCCCATCTGTTTCTTTTCCTTCTGGTGGCAGGCAGGGCTTTCCCAGTGGAGGACACTTGTGGCTGAGGAGCTATTAACTCGATTAAAGACACCCTGGTTGAAGAGGGCTGGTTAGTTGTCAAGAGACTTGAGTCTCTCCAGCCACAGAGTCATAGCCACTGCTGTCCCCTCCCCTGAGCAATGGCCCACTGTGAGCTGGTACCTCTTATACTCTCAGGGGTAGGCAATATTTTCCATGCTGTCCTTCCTTGCCCACAGCCAGGGACTAAAGGTCTGGACCCCCAGTACTGCACCCTATGGTCAGGGCTCCTTGTCCTGATCTCTCTGTGACCTCTCTTGGGGGCCAGTGGATTGCAGATCTGTTTGTGTGTGTGGGGGCATATCCCAGCATGAGCATCTGAGGATAGTGTTTGAGTGGGGGTTAAGGACACTGCCTGGGGTCTGAGAAGCCACAGGCAACTTCTGGCCTGCCTGCCTTGCTTCTGTTGGTGCTGAGTGCAGCACCCCACAGGAACAGGCCCAACTAGCCAGATCAGCCAGGGCCTGTGGTCACTAGCTGTGCCACAGTGCCCAAAGTAGGCATTCTGAGGCTCCAGCCTGCTCCCAGATTTATACCCAGAGGCTCAAGACAGGGACGACGGTCTAGAGAGCAGCTGAAGGTAGTCCCAGCCTGTCGGGAGTTGTGACTCCATTTCTGTCACTCACAGCATGCGGGGGAGTTAGGTGCCTCACCTGGTGTAGTAGAGGATCCTTGAAGGCTTGACTCAGAAAAGAATTTCAGAACAAGTCAGTATGTAGCCAAGCTGGAGCTCATTAAAAGATTATTAATACAGAATTTAAGCATAGAATTTAGACATGAGGGTTGAGAGAAAGAGAGGTTCTTGGGGCAGGGGAACAAGAAACACCAGCAGGCATGAGTGTGTGCATATCGGTGAGGGGATTGAAGTTAGCCGTCTTAGTGTTAGCCATACATATGATGTTGGGGTCTCACGTTATGTCTCACATGGAGGCAAAGAAAGTCCTCTCTTCTCTTGTTTTGATAAATGAGGTTATAGGGCGGCTCCAGAGGTGCCTTAGTTGGTATTGCACTAGGCTTTAAGACTTTGCTGTAAATAGGATTTCTGCGGAGGTTTCTAGAAAACTCTAGGCTTACAGTTGGGAAGGGAGAAAGATCTTAAGCAAATATTAGCTTCTGTGCTGTTTTTCCTTCCTTCCTCCCCACCCCCCCTTTTCCGAGGCAGGCTTTCTTTGTGAGACCCACCTGTGGTTTCACCAGCTCACTTCCCGCATCTGT